CAGCAGGACTTTAACTGGCAGAGGCCTGAGTATAAGGGCCTCTGGGGCAGGCCTTGACCTAACCCACGGGAGCACAGCTTTGACCTCAGCAGAGATTCAGTTATTGGAGAAAACATTTCTGTCCCAGGGAAGGCTTAAAAAGGGCAGAGCTTTAGCTTACAAACATTTAGGCTCTGGTGGGGAGAATGTGTTTTGCTTCTTGCAGTATGTCTTTCAGTAATGCTTTAGGCTGGACTTCAAACAGCGAAGGCAACTTAAAGCAAACACATTCAGTAGAGCTCTTGTTTGAGAGATTGTAGCTTTTTCACAGTGCGAACACAGGGTGTGGGTGGATGTCTCAGAGTTAGTAGCCCCAAATCTGTTCTTCTGTAGGTTGTTCTGAGCTTCATTCAGGGCCGTGAGCAGGACCCGTGGAGGGGCTGATCTCTCTCTCCTTTTGGCTTGTCACTTGCCGGTAAGGCTCAGCTCACTACTGAGATCCCAGGTGGGCTCCAATTCATTAATTACACAAGTTTTGATCATGGCTTGGGATTTGGGAAGCCTAGACTCTAAACTTACCCATAGAATGTGGATATATTTTGTTAATGAAAGCAAATGAAAAGAACAGGGTCCTTATTATGTAGGACATATATTTCCCTGTGGGCTGAAGTAGAGAGAGCTAATGAAAATCCAGAAGCTAAGAAGACAGTTAATGAAGCTATGCCTAGAAGACTTTGTCTCTGGGAAACAGGTTTGCTCAGGAAATCAGGGGTAAATAAGATTTTGTTTTGTTTTGTTTTGTTTTGTTTACATATGCTTCTGTCATGACCAGAACAGAAGCAGGGGAAGGGTGAAAGACAAGTAAAGGAAGACTGCCTTACTAAACTGGAGGAAGACAAGGATATTTAAAAGCTAGAACTGTGACTTTAGTAGACAGACCAGACAGATAGGAAAGGGTTTTGGAAGGCTCACCTAGGCAGATATTAACAGGGAGAAGAAACTCACACATATATGGAAACTTGAGAAGTTGAGGTAATATTATAAATTAATGAGTCAAATTATTTTTAAATGGTGTGAGGACATAGGTTATCCCTCTTGAAAAAAATTGGATTCCTAAATTACACCATATAGAAGAATAAATCTCAGAGGTTAAAAGCAAATCTTTATGACATTTAGAAGAAAATATAGAATATTGGGATAAGAAATGATAGCTTCAATAATATATAAAATGTACAAGTTAAGAGAAATATTGATCAGTTTGATTACATTAAAAGTTAAATGTTCCTCAAAATGGATCAAAGACTTATACATGAGAACTAAAACTATAAAACTCTTAGAAGAAAACATACGGGAAAGCTTCATGATATTAGATTTGACAATGATTTCTTGGATTAGACTGACTCCAAAACCACAGGCAACAAATAGAAAAACAGATAAATTGGACCACATCAAAATTTAAAATTTCAGAGAACATAACACAGTAAAAAGGCAACTCATGGAATGGGAGAAAATGTATATGCAAATGATATATTTCATAAGGGGTTAATATGCAAAATATATAAAGAACTCCTACAACTCAACAACAATAACAACAAAAAGATAAAAAATGGGCAAAGGACCCAAAAAGATATTTCTCCAAAGCTATACAAATAGCCAATAAGCACAGGAAAAGATGCTCGACATCACTAATCATTAGGGAAATGCAAATCAAAATCATGAAAAAAATACCACTTCACACCTTTTTCTGCGGTCACTATAAAATAATTTTTAGAAAATAACAACTATTACCAAGGATGTGGAGAAATTGGAATAGAGTGATTCCTCCAATAGTCTATTTTGGAAACATAAAGAATTATGCCTTACTTAGGCTGGAGAAAGGAGAATTTGGGGGGAAATTATATGAGCTTTTCTTTTTATTCCTTGTCAAAGGCACAAAAATTCTGTCCCCACCACAGGGGATTTCTTTCCTCTGAGTTTCACAGCACAATAGGATGCTGTTCCTAAGATGATTCTTTCTTTGCTACCCTCCAGGACAACGCAGGGCTCTTGGTTAACAGGTTTTACTGATGATTACTAGGGGACAACAAAAATACAACAAACAATGTCAAAAATTAAAATATGACACATTCGGGTAGGGAATGAACACATGGCAAAAAAATTTATTCAACTTGTTAAAGAGGAAACAGTAAGATGGTAAAGCTGGTTCAGACAGCTTTTTGAGGAAGCAGATATTTGAAGTAGATTACTTAGATATAAAACTGGTTAATCTTTGAAGAGTAATAAAAAGTAAGTTTCTTGGTTCTTTTTGGATAGAAATAATTTGAAACTCTACCAGACAAAAAACCTGAGCCTTTCAATCAATAGCAAATAGCTAGGCAAATATAGCCACATTCCTTGGTCTACACATATAGTCAGTGGACCAAATCTGGGCCTGCTGCTTGTGTAATAAAATTTTCTTGGAACATAGCCGCACCCATGTGTTTACATATTGTCTAAGGCTGCTTTTGCTCTACAGTGACAGAGTACTAAAATGACAGAGTCGAGTAGCTGACAGAGAGCATACATATAGTCTAAAAGCCTAAAATATTTACTATCTGGACCTTTAAAGAAAAAGTTTGCCAACTCCTGCTAGAGAATTATTCCTTGGGTGGGCTTGTGAAACGATGTCCTAGATGACATTGAAAAAACTCCACTACCCTCTCTTGGTCTTATTTCCAAATTTTGAGTAATTTTGTTTTTCAAAAGGAGACGTTTGGCTTAAAAATTGGGGGGACATTTTGAGAGTTGTTATCTCTGGCCTATAATTCCTAAATCCTTCTGTCCACCCACTCCAACACCTCAACACCCCCTTTCTGTAGTGGTGACTATCTCAATGCCCCTTAGCCTCTCAATCCTTTTCTCTGAGGGTGGAGCTTGTGAAAACCTCCTTTTAAGTGCAAGCAGGCCTGGAAAATTATTGGTATTAAGTAATGTCTTCTACAGCGTCATTTTTGCCCAAGAGGGCATTCTATTTCTGAGTCCTATAAGGACTCCATTTAGGGCTTGTGCCTTATACTAGTACATTCACGTGGAATGTCTTTGGGGTGGGGAGCGGGTGGGGAGGTCTTCTCAGCTCTGAATTAAGTTCCAGAGCTGTTGTAAACTGTTAAGTTCTGAGAAGGCAATGACGTCACGTGCTTGACCACTGCTGTTTCTCTGGTTCCTGGCACATAGTTGGTGTTCAGTAAATATTTGTTGAGTGAATGATAGAGCTAATGAAAAAATAAAGATAGAGGTGGGAGTCAGCCCTATGTGAGGAGCAAAATTTTGGTGACAAAGGCTGCCACCTGCAGGGAAAATGTGGAACTGCAAGATTCAGAACGACTAAGCCCTGAGGAAAATAACAGTCAACTTCAAAGCAAAATTACTGGAGAATCAATTGTTGTCCCTTAGCTTTAGGCAAAATTAATCAACATCATTTTGTCCCTTCCAATTAAGGTACACTGCACCCTTTCTCAAGGAACATTTCAAAGCTTTTGGCATGCTTAATATGTGCCCAGCGCCATGCCACACACACAACTTTGTTACGGGTAACACTATTATTCGCTTTTTATAAATGAAGAGTCTGAGTACAGAAATCATGCCTGAGATTGCACAGCTAGCAAGTGCCAGAACTAGGGGTTTGAACTAAACACCTAAGCTCTAGAATGTGTGCTTTTAATCATTTCACTGTACTACCCTCTCTGTGCCTGGAACAGAAAATGTTTACATGAAACATACAGAAAGGTGGCAGATGGAACCCCTGCAGTTATCGCTGCTCTTTCCTGACACACTACGAAAATGAGAGAAAAGGAATGAAAAAGGTCTCAGTCCACAGAGAACGGGGGAGGAGGTGACTGCTTGTGAGAGATGTCAAATCCTTTTTGGAAGACAGACAGTGGGTGGATGATTTAGCCGAGGAGAGGAACCTCAGATCTTGCAGAAGGAGATGCCAATAAGGAGCGAACCAGCTGGAGCTGCCGAAGCCCGGAAAGAGTCAGGAATCGAAGATCCCAGGCACCTGGGGTGAGAGGTGGGACTGGAAATAGACTAACTGTACATATATACGAGGAACTGTTAACCCCGGATTCCCCTCCTGGGCCTCCCTTCCAAACCCTGCAGAAGATCAGGTGTTTATTCTGTGGAGCACTTGAAACACAGCAGCTCTAGATTCAAAGAGACCTGTCAGAGGAAAGGGTGGAGGTGAGGCAACGTGCTAAAAACAGAGGAATTAAAGGAAAGCGTGTGGCTAAAAAAAATTTTTAACTTGTTTTTTTAATAATCATGGGTTTGGTGATAGTATCAGTATTGTTATTCTGAGACTCAGCACTATGCTAAGTGTGCATTTTGGAATAAAGCAAAAACTAAATTATATTGGAGCTGTTGAGAAGCAAGCTTTATGGTTTGGGAGAAAAGAAATACATATGTAAGATCAATATAGTTAAGTAAAACTCCTCTAGTCTTGATTTTACTTGAAAATATCGGTATGATGGATTTTATCAGAGAGGTTAGGTAACTGGCTCAAGGTCACCCAGCTACTAAGGAATGGAACAGGATTAACCCAGACTGGTCTGCCTTATTTGTGGGTCAGGGTGGGAGGAGATATAATTTGAAAGATAAGTAGGATCAGTTAATGGACGTTCCTTCTCTTCGTCTCTGGAAGATTTGCTTACCATGATCCAGTAATCTCGTGCTGATCTGGAAAGATTCTGTTTCCAGAATGTCAAAACTGAGGGCCAGCCTCCACATCATGGTGACAAGTGACCAAACAGAAGTTATCTTGGTGGCCAACTGGTCTCCCTCTGTGCCATCCCTTAAACCTTAAGAACAGTGAGATATATTTTCACTAATTCCTCAAAGTAAACACTTCTTCTAGTACAGCCGTAGAAGACTACAGTATTTGTTTGAGTCTACTTTTTTTTTAATCTTGAAAAGCATTCACAAGTTTTAGAATTTGCTTTCAAGTCTAGTTTAAGTAGTAGACATTGAGCAAGGCTGGCAAGAGGGAAGGAATTTTGCCCTATTTTCCAAATGCGTCCGCTAATAGAACATACGAATCATATGATTAAGAGAGGGAACATATATCTTATAAATTGTTTTTTGTTGTGGTGGTGGTGGTGGTTATTTAATTTAAAAATTAGTTTTTAATTGAAAAGTAACAAATGCACAATAGATTGAAGTCATTCGCCTTCCTTCCTCTTTCCCCAAACTGTTACATTACCAGCTTCTAAGGTCTTGCAGAGAACATTTATAAGGAAATTTTTAGGCTGATTCACATTGGGAGGGGATAGAAGTTCAAATATAACCAATATTATTCCACTATGGTAAGCAGCTTCCCTCTGAGGGAGAACCTGTGTCTGGATTCAGGTTGGAAAGACTTCCATTATTCGTTTTAAGGAATTCACAAATGATCTCCATAAAGAAGAGATATCAGTTGAGTCTTTGTCCAAACAGACTAGATAAACGTCATTGTTTCTCATCAGGACATATCCCTGCCACCAATAAATTGACAATGATGTAGAGTCAGGAATTCTGGGGGTTTGGAATTAGGGTTTGTTCTACCCACAGTTTTCATGACTATAACTCTGAAGTTTTCAGGATATTTCAATTTTTCATTGTCTTCATAACTACATGCATTCTTGTCAGACCATGGGTTATTTTGGTTATGGAAAACATGCTACCACAGTGTGAGGTCGATGCTTTTGACATAGACTTACACAATCTTGTATTTGCTTTTCTTTGGTCTCCACATTCTTTCTGACAAATTTGGGTTTAACAAAAGGTACATACTTTAAAATAAGCTGTAGCAGAAATGCCTTACCCCATGACAGGGCAAAATGAAGTGGGTTCAGGCTGCAGGAAGAATTCACTAACGGGCTGCCAGTAAGGGGTGAATGAAAGCAGAACTACCTGCAGGTCCAGAGGACAAAGATGAAAACATGTTTACGACACAGAAACAGAAATAGAAGTAGGGGGAGGGGGGAGCAGTGCCCCTCAGTGGTACCAAGAGGCCAACTTAGTTCCATTTTTTAAGGCTCTTTGTCTATAGGAAAATGAAGACTTCATTTCTTCATTTAATTTTTTAAAAATGTTTTTGGCACTCCAAGATTAAAATGTAATGTAAATGTGTCATTACAAAATGATCAAATTTATTAAAAGCCAACTATTAAAACCACAATGAGATACCACTGTATTGTATCTGTATTGGCAGTTTCTTGTAAAATTAAACATACATCCACCATACAACTCAGAAATCTTACTCCTAAGTATATACCTAAGAGAAATGAAAATGTATGTTCACACAAAACCTGTATGTGTATGTTTATAAGTGGTATCGTTTATAAGTGGCATTGTTTTTAATTGCCCCAAACTGGGAAAACCCAGATTACTTCAACTGGCAAAGAAAAAATTGTAGTATATCCATTATGGAATACTTGTCAGCAATAAGAGGAAGTGGATTGGAATAAACTCTTGCATATATGGCCAAATGATTTTTAACAAGGGTGCCAAGACTTCACAACAGAGAAAGGACAATCTCTTCAACAAATGGGGTAGGGAAAACTGGGTATCCACATGCAAAAGAATGAAATTAGATCCTTACCTTACACCATATATAAAAATTAACTCAAATGGATTAAAGATCTAAACATTAAGACCTAAAACTATCAAGCTCCTAGAAAAAAAATAGGAGAAAATCTTCAGGGCATTGGATTTGGAAATGCTTTCTTGAATGTGACACCAAAAGCACAGGCGACAAAAGGAAATATAGACAAATGTCAAACTCAAAAACTTCTGTACGTCAAAAGAAACAATCAACAGAGTGGAAAGGAAACCTACAGAATGGGAGAAAATAATTGCAAATCATATATCTGAACATATAAATCATATATTCATATCCAGAATATGTAAGAAACTCCTACACCTCAACAACAAAAACCCAATTAAGAAATGGGCAAAGGACTTGAACAGACAGTTCTTCAAAGAAGCTATACAAATGCCCAATAAGCACAGGAAAAGATGCTTGACATCACTAATCATGAGGGAAATGCAAATCAAAACCACAGTGAGATATTATCTCACATCCACCAGGGTGCTACTATCGAAAGAATAGAAAATAAGAAAGTTGGAACTTGTGCACAGTGTTGGTGGGAAATGTAAAATAGTGCAGCCATTATGGAAAACAGTATGGAGGTTCCTAAAATATTTAAAAATAGAATTACATATGATCCAGAAATCCCACTTCAGGTATATATCTGAAAGAATTCAAAGCAGGATCTTGAAGAGATAATTTGTATACCCATGTTCATAGCAGCATTATTCACAATAGCCAGGAGATGGAAGTAACCCAAATGTCCATCGACAAATGAATTGATAAAGAAAATGCAATAGATACAGACAATAGAATATCATGTAGCATTTAAAAAGAAGGCAATGCTGTCACTTGCTACCACCTAGATGAACTTCAAGGACATAATGTTAAGTGGGATCAGCCAGTAACAAAAGGACAAATATTGTATGATTCCATTCATATATAATATCTAAAGTAGTCAAAATCGAAGAAACAAAATAGGAAGGTGGTTACAAGGGCTGGGGGCAGTATTTGGCGGCTACAGAGTTTGTGTTGTTAATATGAAAAGTTCTAGAGCTCTGTTGTGAAACAATATGAAAACACTTAACAATCTGAATTGCACACTTAAAAATGATAAGATGGCAAATTTAATGTTATGTTTTTTTTTTTTTACCACCACCACCACCATCGATCACCACCACAATAATAATAAAAGGAACGGATTGTTGACATGTGAAACTTGGATGACTCTCAAAGGCATTAAGCTAAGTGAAAGAAGCCAGGCTCAAAAGGCTGCATACTGTATGATTCCATTGATGTGACATTCTGGAAAGTGGAAAACCATAGAGACAGAAAATAGATCAATGTTGTCAAGGGCTGGGATGGTGGGAGGAGATGCTATAAAGGGGCATAAGGAACTTTTGGGGTGGTAAAATTGTTCTATATCTTGACTGTGGTTGTGGTTACATGACTATGTGTTTGTTAAAACTCATAAAACTGTATGCCAAATAAACTGTACACTGATGCATAAGAAAAGCCTGGATATCAGCAACTACGCAAAAATTATACTGTATATAAATTCTCTCTCAATAAAACTAACTAAAAATGTGGAGTAAACATGGCAAAAGGTCTAATCTGCATGGTCTTGGTGCATTGTACAGTGGTGTTCTTTTTTGTACCTTTCATTGTGATTGACATGTTTCAATCTGAAAATAATAAAAACGAAAATGACTCTTAAAAAGCCAACTAGTTTATTTGAACTGCAGTATGGTCCAATAACAGATTGCAAGTTTAAAGACGTCTGATAAACAAGGAATTCTTATTTCATTCCTGTCAGTGTCTGTCTGTGACAGTATTTAAAACTTCATTTTCAGAAAAGGTCAAACTTGTAAATTTGAAGCCTTGCAAGAACGTGAAGTCTGCTCAAAAAGCCCTTCTGCCCTCATGTTTCAGAAAACATTTGAAGATCAAGAGTAGTACCTGGTGGTTGACATGGGGAATGGGAGGTGGAGAGGATCAGTTTCTTCTGGGTGTTGATTTAGAAATCAATAATTGGACTTTTCACTTCAGTCAAAATAGTAGAGTCGATCCTTTGTCCTCACACAGCCTTGAATTCCCTGTGGCTCTAAGCAATCCCTTTAAAAAGCTTTATGATTCTGCCTCTCTATTTGTAAAATATTTGGCTCATGAATAAAGATGGATGGATATACTTAATCATAAGAAAAAGCGGATGCCAATTTTAGACAGTTTAGAAACCATGACTTTAGCAGTAATATTAACCACCATCACCACTAATTCACCCCAAACCACTGGAGAGACTTAGAGTGTAAAGTCAGCCTTAGCTATTTTTCTGCCTAGCTACTTCTGTTGTTTTTTCAGGCTCCTCATATGCAGCAGCTTCCAAGCACAGGATTCCAAAAAGCTGAATTGTCTCGATTCCTCCCAACACTGGCACAGACTATAAGGAATGGAGAAATGCCAATAATCCTGGAGAAACAGATGGACACTTTTAATCACAAACATTTACGCACAACTCAAATGCTGTAGTTTGGAACAAAATATGGAAATCTTAGCCCTACCCAGTGTCTTTCCATTCTAATGGGGGAAACTACCAAGGCCAGGGGAGAAGGGAGAAAAGATTCTCTGGGTTGAAAGATGAAAGAATCCTGGCAGAAATGGGTCACCTGTAAAATGAAAAGTTTCAGTGTTTCCAAGGTTTGCAAAATGGATGTGAGGTGATTCAATCCTCATTTCGATTTTGTAAGCTGTCACAATATTACTTTGGGGCCACCTATCAAATGTTTGAGATTGGACAGAAGGGGTGGTGAGATCATTTCCTAACCCATACAGCAGCATAAAAATGAAAATGTTAGAGCTGAAGGGCCCTTTATCAAAATTTAATCCAACGGCCTACAATTTCAAAACAGAAAATAGGACAGCGCTTCACAGATATTAAGGAATAGAAAAGAAAGTACCTTGAAGTAAAGAGAAGGTTTAAAACAACCACAGTAATGTTAGATAGATTTAGAAGTTATGAGGTGAAGGTTTTAAAAATACAGTTTTTTTTTTAAAAAGGGAAGCATTACATAAGTTATTAAAAGTGGTCCAGAATTTGTCACATGTTAAAGTAATTCTTTGTAGAAAGAAATTGGAAATATCTGTATTACACGTTTGATCAAATTATATTTTTATACGCTTTGGAATGCCACAGGAAAGGTGCTAAGAAGTCACTTTGATGATTTAGCTTTGCTACATAAATTTAACAAACAAGGTATATATACTGTTTAGGCATTCTTCTGAATTGGAAAATGTTTCTTGAATAAATACCATGATATATTTAAGTATTTTGATCTTTACTTCTGACTCGTAAATATATTAAATCTCAGAAGTATAGCCAACATTCCTGGCCTGGAGAATCTCCATACACAAGCCAGTTTAGAATGGAGGGGCTCCCCCAAGTCTTGTAGTTGTCATGTCACTTTGTAGAGTTACAGTAGATCGGCTTTGTTTTTTCCTTTTAATACTTATAAATCATTCCACTTAATTTTTGTCGATGTTTTTTGCCTGTGAAAAAGTTAGTGTTCATTTGTCCCCCTTATCAGAACACGGTGAAGTAGTCTGGCGACCTCCCGCGATACATCTAAAACAAAAAAGGCAAAGCAACTGTTCACGGAATGTGGGATAGAGAAAATTCAATGGTAATGGTAAAGGATGGCAATGTCATCTCTGCGCTCCTTTAAAAGACCTTATTTAGTAGCGTTAGGAGGGAGGTTCCCAAATTTCTGTTCCCCACCGGTTGCGTCAGGTTGAAAATGTTGATTCCTGGACCCTGTTTTAACAATATTGATTACTGGACCCTGCCCTAAACTTACCGAGTCAGAATTCCCTGAGATAGAATCTGGAAATCTGCTTTTTTGAAACAAGCCCCGCAGTCGGCTTGGGAACCTCAAATCAGATACATAACTCTCGCGCCCCCAGCGATCTCACTCCGCCCCTCGGCCCCGCCCCTCGG